CCCCCCTCACTGTCACCCTGTCTCCCCAATCACCTACCAAGCACGCCACAGACACCCCCGTTTTCTCGATCTCCAACCACCCTTCGCCGCATCAACTACTCCCCCGAACCTTAGCCACCCTATGACAGCACAAATTCCACCCCCCAATCCTCTAACCCCTGACAACGCTCCAACAGTGAGACCCGGGCGATCTCCCATGTCCGGCAAGCCCTTGCGACCCAGACCCTGTCTCCGGTCACCATCCCAAAACGAGCCCCCCCCATCCAGACGCCCACGCATCAATGCGTGATCACCACCCAACACACCTCTGAATTCCAGCTGTGATCCCTCAACCCCCCAATATTCCCCCCCCACACCAACCTACACCAACCTAACCCGATTCCTGCGCTGGGCATACCCGTATACGCCCACGCAGACAGCCCAATTTCCACGTAGGCAAGCTGCAAACAGCAGCGTGTGATTTAACTGGAAAAAAAAAAAAAAAAAAAAAAAAAATCTCACACCCCCTTCCGATCAGTGCCGCCCCTCAAACAGCAACCCAGAAACCGAACACCCCAACAAACACACAACAATCAAACCGCCGAAACACAAATACATCGCAAAAAGAGCAAAAGCAATCATTAAGAAAAAACAAAACGAACAACAGCAACCATGGCCCAAAACTACCAACGCCGCTACAGCACGGTAGCAGCAATGAAAACAGCCGCCTCAAAGGACCCATCCCAAATCGCATCCAACGTGGATCATGAGACACTTCGTTTCCTGTTGGACGCCCCAAAAATTAAAGGAGAGAAAGTCACAATCAGGCATTAACGTTAAGGACAATACCGATGAGGAGGTGACCGCTTGGGCGTACCCAAAAGACAAGATCGCCGACACCAATGCGACATACGAGAAGCACACACTCATCTTCTCCTTCTCCAACACCGGTGCAAGACTCTCCCCCATCGAGAAAAGGAAATGGATGGTGAAAACCATCCAAGAACACGAGAACATCAAAACAGAAGTTGACAAGTTCTCCCTGCTAGGCCTGGGTAGAACCATGGTGATCGTGGTCTTCAAAGATGCAGACCAAGCAACGCA